AAGGAATGGATGGCTCGGATCTCTCACCCCACAAGTCACCTTGATCAAAGGTTTATATTCAATATCAAGAAAGAGGTAAACTATGGGAAACCCTAGACCTAAATTTCACTATAAATAGGAGTGATCTCGCCCCATCTCAACACACCTCTCTCTCCCACAAACTCTCCCTCTATCTTCCCTAGGGGCCACGGCCCTCTCTCCCTACTCTCTTATTTTCTCTCTCTACTTTCTCTCTCCCCTAAAAGATACCCTAGGTGGCACGCCCCAACATAGAGAGTATCTCTCTCTCTCATGATCTAATCTAAGGGTTGGGAAAAAATTAGGGTTTGAGCCTAATTATTTTAAAGGTAGGGTTTTGTAAATATTTAAGGGTGGTTACCTAGTTTGGCCGAAATTAGCTTTCTCGGTTCGAGATTGAAGCTGGACCACTGATCCCGCGCCATTGGATATGGTGATTCGGTGTAGGGTGTAAAAAGCCTGGTTGAGGTAATCTCCGACATCTTTTCTTTTAATTGTTAGTTCTTTTATTTTATATTCTCAAGCACAGTATTAGGTTGTTTGAATGGCATCAAGTAGTTGAGATTTATTTTATTGATGTGTTATTTATTTTTGGAATTTCTATTGTTTGTAATAACACCACCTATGAGTGATCTTGTTGCCAAAATTATAAGGGGTGATTATTATTAAAAAAGAAAAATTGTATTTCTCCGTCATAAGATTACATAAGTCTTTCTTTCGTTGGTATCAGGGCTAGTTTTACTTGTGAGGTTCCAAGATAGGTGGTAAGAGCTTCCAAAGATAAGTGGAGGAATCAAAAGATAGAATTGTGTTTTGTACTTGGAGTTAGTTTAAAGTAACAAAAGGAGATTGGGGTACTTCAAGGCATGATGTTGAGGATAATTTGGATAAGCTAATTGTGCAAAGATTCATCAAGACTAGGCCGCAGTGTAGGTGGAAGCTGCAAAATGAGGATTGTATGAAATTGAATTTTGATGGCTCATCTTTAGGAATCCAAAACAGTCAGGTATTGGGGGACATCAAAGGTCAAGTCATTTTTTGCTATGCATGTCCTTGTGGTTTAGTGACTACTAATCATGCTGAGTTGGCAGACTTATTACAAAGACCGGCGATTTTTAAAGACATGGGCTTGAAAAAAAAATTGGTCATTGAAGATGACTCTCACAATGTCATCAACTGGTGTAAAAGCTTGTCAAGATCTCCTTGGTGGCTTCATTCTTTATGGTACAAAGTGAGGGATTTATCTTTGGGCGGGTTCTCCTTTAATCATGTATACAGTCATGCTAATACCATTGCAAATGATACGGCTAGGAAAGGAGTTTATTTGGTATCTATAATTGTATCTCGTTCTTTATTTTAAGTTTTCGTTGTAATATATTTTAATCGTAATAATATTTGTTACTCTTGTAATTAAAAAAAAAGTCTCAACAGCAATTTATTGCACTAGTTTATTAGAAACACGCACCCAATGGCGCACACAAGCAAAGAGACACATGATATATCACTGTCTCAACAAACAAATAAAGGGAAACAAACATGAGAGAGGCAGAGAAAGAGAAGCCTCCTTTTGATTAATTTAGAGAGAGAGGGATGTCCCTTATTGATTGATCTTGAAGTGGCGAGCTCCTAAATATTCACCACCCAGCTTCAAGAACTTACTGCTCCTCCTGAACCTGTAAAACTTGCCCCACATGAAACCTTTAAACTTGGGTGGGTTGAGCTCGTTTACCAGCTCCTTTAGAGGCTCCACCATTACATGGCTTGCTGGTCCAAAAACAATGGCCATCGAATACCTGTGCTGGCTTGTGGTCACCACCACCCTGTGCTCAAGACTCTCGTAGTAGCCATTGCTGAAAACCTACAAAAGATTTCCACACAATACAAATCAATCAATCAAGAGAGCAAGAGAGGGCGGGAGTTGGCAATTGGGGGTCCTAGAAATATGGTTTCCTGGTGGCCTGGTCCTTTATTAGGGATGGTGTACTGAGTGAGAGACTAATACTTGGGAGAATTTAGTTAGTTTGGAACTTGTTCCTAGACAATGTCTTTTCAAGGTCAATAATTTCGAAGTGATGTCAAGGGAGAGCATTTCCGGGTCATAAAATTGTGGGCCCACCCAACACTTATCTAAAATAACAATCCTTTTTTTTTATTATTTGTTTTTATTTTTATGTGGCTTGCCCAACCCTAATAAGATGGCCAGGCCTGCAACCCGCCAACTTTATAATTGAGGAAGCGAGAATCATTTGCCTGCCTTTTAGAAAGCAATACTTTTCTTTTAGGTAGGGTAGGAGATAGGCTCTATTCGTCAATTTATTAGACGAGAATGACCGAGGGACTTTCTAAAAATATTTTCAAAAAAAAAAAAACACAGTCCAGAGAGAGAAGTTAAATCAAATCATACGTTCATGGCTTCGCCCAGGTTGATAGTGTAAGCACCAGGAAGAGGCTTAACCTTGAGCCATTTGCTTTCTCTCTCTACCTCCTCTATCTACCCGTCCCTCTCTCTTTCTGTACCCGTTCTCTCTCTTCTCGAGCCATCGAATCCCCAAACCTCCCACCCCTCACTGAACGAGGCTTGATCCATTCCCAAACCACCCCTCCACTTCTCAAATCCCACAACCTGACATACCCACTGTTACCAGACGCACCAGAGCTCACTGATATACCCATAAAAAAAACCTAAATTCCTTCAAAAAAAACTTAGCTTCATGGCTGCCATGGCCATTGCCCCTTGCCTACCCATCTATGAAACGACCTTCAAACTCGATTGGTCAACTGATGATCTGCAGTTCTCTCTGTATCTATATTCAAACCAGGCGAAAACGTGTCTTTTGGATCAATATGGATTTTACGTTAGCCTTGAAGATTCTTCGATCAGATGGATCGACCTAATGTACGGAGTCCAAGAATTGGCCACCTGAAAGCCGGTAAAAATGGAGGCCTGGGGTATCTTCTGATCCAATTCCACAAATCAATGAAGTAATTCTAGTGAGAGAGAGATTTTGGGTAAGAGAGAGAGAGTTTGGGTAGGAGAGAGAGAAGCATAAAGAAGATGGGAAGCAAGTTAGAGAGAGAGCTTTTTGGGTAACAGAGAGAAACTCGCTTCACAAAAAGAGATTTTGAGGTATTTCGGGTAGCGAGAGAAAGAGAGAGGGTAGCCCAGATGCTTGATAAAAACAAAACAAAATTTGGGAATAAATGTAGCATCATAATGCAAAAAGTAAACATCAATGTTTTTCAAAAGAATAAGAAAGATAAAAAATCAATGGAAAGATCAACACCTCAGAACCCGTAAAGACTGCAAGCTCTTTTGCTACCCATTACGCTACTGTGGTAGGAGTAGGATTCGTGGAAAGCTTTGTAAAAAGCTTCTTCACTTGGGTAGAGAGAGAGATAGGGGGGTAAAGAGAGAAAGAGAGGGCGGATAGAGAGAGAAAGTGGGTTTCAGGACAGAGTTTTGGGAGAGAGAAAAAATGGTTTTTGAGTAGAGAGCAATGGTTTAAAAAACGGATCGGTGACTCGGATCGGGTTTCCAAAAAATCGATTCGGATCGGCGAATCGGCGATCCGGATCAAAAATCGGGTGAATCGGTCAGAATAAAGCTTAAAAAAAATTCGAAAAAATTATTAAAATTCATTATAAATATTGTTTTTTAGGAATTCAATAAAAAATGAGGGTACTCCATTAAGAATTTTCGTGTTTTTGAATGAATATGCGAATATTGATATGTTCTTTCCCTGTATGAACCACCATTCAGCATTTAATTTACAGTATTTCGTACTCATCCCTACACTGTTGCTGTTGGGACTCGATATGTGAAAAATATGGCTGGGATAGGGTGGCTTCAGAATCATCATCTCTCTCATTTTCTCTTTGAATAATATGGATTAAAAAAAAAAATTAACAAATTTTCAAAAAAATCGATCATGGACTAAAAAGAAAATCACAAATTTTCAAAAAATTCTATCATGGATTACAAAAAAATTTCGATCATAGATTAAAAAAAAAAATCACAAATTTTCAAAAAATTCAATCATGGATTACATAAAATTCGATCATGGATTACATAAAATTCGATCATGGATTACAAAAAAAAACAAACAAAAAAAAAAAACAAAAAAAAACAAAAAATTCAATCGTAGATTACAAAAAAGAAAAAAACAGTTCGATCATGGATTACAAAAAATTCTATTATGGGTTACAAAAAACCAAAAACTTCGATCATGGATTACAAAAAAACAAAAACAATTCGATCATGGATTACAAAAAAATCGATCAAGTATTACAAAAAAATCTATCATGGATTACAATATAAAAAAAAAAAATTCAGTACGGACTCGCCGATTCACTGTTCGGACTCGCCGATTCCTTACAGTGAATCGGCGATTCACTGTAAAGAATCGTCCGGTTCTCTCTAGAACCGGACGATTTTCGATTTTTTAGGCGATCCGGTCCCCTTTTCACGATTTCCGAGTCGAATCGAGCGAGTCCGGTTCGACTCAGCGTTTTTTAAAACACTGGCAGAGAGAGTTCAGGAATAGAGGGAGAAGAGGAGATGCTAATAATACGTGACCAAAAAAATAAGGGAAGAGAGAGGAAAATGGTTGTTTAAATTTTGTTGATTTTTTTATTGCGGTTAAATATAAAAATAAAAAAAACGCTTCATTTAAGTTGTGGTACTAAAAGTATCGAGAAGAAAGATATCTAGAAAGCTGATTTTAAAGTATAATTTTCTCAAAAAAATATTTGAACGTTATGAACTTGTTCGATGGCACACCTTTGCCGTAGATTTCGTGTGACGAAAATCTTCTTGTACCAAAACCTAAATTTACATTCTTTTGAGAAAGACATACTAGGGCTTTTAGAAAGTCAAAAAAAGTACTTGAAAGACTGATGCAATAGATTTAGCAATTAATAGATAAGAGAGAATGGGTTTATTCTAAAAGAATTAAACCTAATAATTAAAAATAAATAAATAAAAATTCAAAGCCATTTGTTTCAAGAAATATGATAAGAGGCAAAAAAATCAATGGGGCAAAGCATAGCATGAGACGGTAGGTTAGAGAAAGGCAAAAGAACCGCTTGCACAAGTAGGGTGAGAGAGGAAAAAAAAAGAAAAACTCACAACAAATTTAGAGAAAACAACTTAAACTGGTCTTGGTTGTGTTTCGATACATGAATGGAAAGTACATTGATGGAGAGGGAAAAAGTACAAGAAGACCTTAGAAAAATGTGTTTGATTGAGATTGACAAACACATTTTTATTGGGACCTCTATTTTGACCGATTATTTGTGCAAGCTTATTTGGAATTTTTACGATTGCTTTTGGTTCTTTATAAGTTTTCAATTCTTTTATTTTTCTAATTTTTAAATTTATTTAGGGATTTTATATAGCACTTCGACAAATTTGACTCAAGTTTGTCCCAATAGCTCACCTCAGGTCAGGGCTGATTACCCTACAGAGGCAATCTAAACACCGGTATGCTAGCACCTTGCCAACCACCATATGTCAACAACTGACGTTTGGAGTGTGCTTGTCCTAATTACCATTGTTGATAATTAGGACCGGGGCTGCATTTACCATGTACTTATAGAACAGCATAAATAGCAAGGTCTAGCTTGGGTTGATTAGTTTTGTAGTTGGTTAGAGCTTTGAAAATATAATACTGACAAAGTTTATTATGCATTCATATGTGTATCTCCTACTAAACATCTATCTTAGAGGAGAATTTAGGATTTGGAATGCTTTACTGCATATAAAAAATAATATACCCATAGAATGAGTGTAGCGGAGATGAGAATGTTGAGATGGATGAATGGCAAGACAAGAAGGGATAGAATTCGAAATGAAACCATTCGAAAAAATTTAGGTATGGCACCAATAGGCGATAAGATGAGAGAGAAAACACTTAGGTGGACTGATAATCTGTGGCACCGACCAAATACAGCACCTGTTAGGAAGTACCAGTTAGTTCAAGTAGAAGGACTGAAAAGGGCAAGGTGTGAGACCAAGACCACGTGGTTGGAAGTAGTTCGAAAAGATATATAGAGAGTTGTAGCCTTACTGAGGGTATTACCTTTAATAGAGCAGAATGACGAACCAGAATTTGTATAGCCGACCCCAATTAATTAAAAAAAAACTATAACGATGATGATTCACACTTCACTCCATACTGCATTTGTGCTTTACATTGAAGATTTTGCAGCTGCAAATTTGATGATATTGGAAGAAGTAAAATGAATTCGCCTGAAAATAAAGTTTGAAATTATTTATTTTTAGGGTTCAAAAGCATAGTGGTTGAGAGAAATTAGATTGATAATGATAGTAATTGAAATTATCTAAAGGAAAAATTCAAGATTTAAAACCCGTCTCTAAAATAAATTTTAATTAGTTGATTGGACAAATTTAGGACGCCTTGGTTGGTGCTCTAAAACCTTTCCTGCAAGAACTAAAAAAATAGAACTTTGACTTAGGCAAGGAGGAGGGCTTTAGAAAGGATAAAGTTAATACGAGGATGCAACTTTATTGGTAAAAGAAGTTGTATTAATCTATACTGTTCATTTTATATTAACAACATAGATTTGATATTATCTCAAAAGATGTATTGTTATTATTTTTTACACTATTTTAAGAGTGTGCTTGATTTCTAAAAGACAGTTTTGCAAACTACAATTGATATTATCTCAAGAGACGTATTATTATTATTTTTTGCACTACTTTAAGAGTGTGCTTGATTTCTAAAAGACGTAGTTTTGCAAACTACAATTTCTAGGAACGTTGGATACCCTAAGTTCTATAGTCCCTATTGAACTAGCGGTATCTATTTTTAAGTCTTAATTATAAGGTTAGTAAATACCATAGTATCCATTATACTGTAGAGTTTCCTTATATTAAATAGGGCGGTGCTCTAGTGCTAGAAGATGTGGTTTTCCAAAAGTCAAATATACCTTAAAAGAAGTGTCAAATCTATGTCGTGTAACTAAAATAGACAGCATAGAACAATGCAACTTACTTCTACAAATAAGGTTGCATCCATGAAAATTGAACCCTTAATGAAATGTAAGGGAAAATTACATCTGTACCATTTTATTTACTGATTATTATGTGATGGTCAAAAGATATGAGATATTTATGTTGTAGTCCTTGTCCTCAATTTTGTTTCAAAGTTTTCTCTCGGTCCGATGTTTTAAACATTAGACCAATTTGATGTTATCATAGGTCAGTTCAATATCAAAAACATCTAATGAAAATTTTGTAAAGCAGTCATGGACATGCCTATACTTTTAGTCGGTCTGATGGCTTAAACATCGGACTGCCTTAAACCTTCAAAAAATATAGTTTAAACGTGGCCTGAAGTTAGAAATATCACACCACCATTTTAGTAACATGATATGTGTCTCGTTCATGTGCATGCATTAGTACTAATAACATGGTTTCCTTAACATGAACCAATTAAAATTTACATTTATTAGTACTGGGTAACATGCACCAACCAGTTAATGCGTTCCTTGAACCTCATTTTTTGAAGTTTTAATGCATTATGATGTTTCAAACAAACATGAGACCAATTAAAATGTGTACGGCTGTTGCGGTTCGATGGTTTTGATATTGAACCAATTATGAATATCAAATAATAATAATAATAATAATAATAATAATAATAATAATAATAGATTTAATATGTGGTCGAATATTTAAAACATCGGAGTAGAGAAAAACTTGAAAAAAGATAAAAGAAAATGGGAGCAAGGGCATAAATACTGAATATTTTGAGACTCTAATAACGGTAAAAAATAACAGTGGGACTTAAAATTTCCCAAAAACATTTTTAAATATGGAGGGAGAGAGGAAGAGGGCCCGCTCAAAAACGAAAACATGAGAAAGGGCATCACACTAATTGAGACCTTGAGGACAAAAAGCATAAAGAAGAAAAAAATTATAAGATATGATATGCTCAGTATATATTTGGAAATTACAATTAAGATTGGTCAATACAATCTTTTTT